GGCTGAAGGTATGAGAATGTGAGTGAAGGAAAAATAACTTCTCAGACATGGGCCACTTTGGCTTCAGGATCCAAGAGCATATTGATCTGGGGATTAAATACGACCCAAGCATTGGTATCTACGGCTTGGACTTCTATGTGGTGCTGGGCAGGCCCGGGTTCAGCATTGCAGACAAGAAGCATAGGACAGGCTGCATTGGGGCCAAACACAGAAGTGGCAAAGAGGAAGCCATGCTCTGGTTCCAGCAGAAGTACAATGGCATCATCCTTCCTGGCAAATAAAGTCCTGTTTTCTATTAAAAGGTCAATAAAATGATCACTGACGTGTATAAAAAAAAAAGTAGAATTGGCCAGATGGCAAAGGAGGTCCAAAAGCTCACTGAAGAAAATAATTCCTTTTTTTTTTTGTTTTTTGGTTTTTTGCTAGGCAGTGGGGTTAAGTGACATGCCCAAGGTCACACAGCTAGTAAGTGTTATGTGTCTGAGGCCGGATTTGAACTCAGGTCCTCCTGAATCCAGGGCCGGTGCTCTATTCACTGTGCCACCTAGCTGCCCCAAGAAAATAATCCTTAAAAATTAGAATTGAGCAAATGGAAGCTAATGACTTTGTGAGAAATCAAGAAACAATAAAACAAAACCAAAAGAATGAAAAAAAAGTAGAAGACAATGTGAAATTTCTCACTGGAAAAACAACTGACCTGGAAAACAGATCCAAGAGAAATCATTTTAAATTAGTGGACTACCTGAAAGCCATGGTCAAAAAAGAGCCAAGACATCATTTTTCAAGAAATTATCAAGGAAAACTGCCCCGATATTCTAGAACCAGAGGGTAAAATAGAAATTGAAAGAATCAACTAGCACTTCTGAAAGAGATCCCAAAACAAAATCTCCCAGGAATATTATAGCCAAATTCCAGAGCCCCCAGGTCAAGGAGAAAATATTGCAAGTAGTCATAAGGAAACAATTCAAGTATCATGGAGCCACAGTCAGGATAACACAAGATTTAGCAGCTTTTACATTAAAGGATCAGAGCGCTTGGAATATGATATTTCAGAGGACAAAAGAGCTAAGATTACAACCAAGAATAACCTACCCAGCAAAACTTGAGTATAATCCTTCAGGGGGAAAATGGACATTCAATAAAATAGAGGTCTTTCAAGCATTCTTGATGAAAAGACTAGAGCTGAATAGAAAATTTGATTTTCAAATATAAAAGTCAAGAGAAGCATAAAAAGGCAAATGGAAAAGGGAAATCATAAGGGACTTAATAAGGTTAAACTGTTTACATTCCTGCATGGAAAGATGATACTTGTAACTCATAAAAACTTTCTTATTATTAGGGCAGATAGGAGTGTATATAGATGGAGTTGATTATGAAGGCATGATATCTTTTTTTAAAAAAGTAAAATTAAGGGATGAGAGAGGAATGTACTGGGAGAAAGGGAAATGGAGAGGTAGCATGGACTAAATTATCTCACATAAAAGAGGCAAGAAAAAGCTCTTAGAGTAGAGGGGAAGAGGGAGGAGGTGGAATGAGTGAACCTTACTTTCATCAGAATTGGTTCAAAGAGGGATTAATATACACACTCAATTGAGTATAAAAATCTATCTTACCCTACAAGAAAGTAGGAGGGGAAAGGGATGGGGGGGAGGTGATAGAAGGGAGGGCAGATTGGGGGAGGAGGTAGTCAGAAGCAAAACCTTTTGAGGAAGGACAGGGTAAAAGGAGAGAGAAAATAGAATAAACATGGTTGGGGAATAGGATGGGGGGGAACACAGCATTAGTAACTGTGAAAAAAATTTGGAAGCACATTTTTCTGATAAAGACCTCATTTCTCAAACATATAGAGAACTGAGTCAAATTTATAAAAGTCAGAGCCGTTCTCCAATTGATAAATGATCAAAATATATGAAATTTTCAGATGAAGTAACCAAAGCTATCTATAGCCATATGAAAAAATGTTCTAACTCACTATTGATTGGAGAAATGCAAATTAAAACAATTTTGAGGTACTATCTCATACCTATTAGATTGGTTAATAGGACAGAAAAGGAAAATGACAAATGGTAGAGGGGTGTGGGGAAAAATTGGGGCATTGATGCATTGTTGGTGGAATTGTCAACTGATTCAACTATTCTGTAGAGCAAGTTGGAACTATGATGCCCAAAGGGCTATAAAACCATGCATACCTTTTGACCTAGAAATACCACTACTAGGTCTGTATCCCAAAAGAAATTAAAAAACAAGAAGGAAAAGGACCTATATATACAAAAATATTTATAGCAGCTCTTTTCTTCTGGCAAAGAATTGGAAATTGAGGGGATCCTCATCAATTAGGGAATGGCTGAGCAAGTTATGGTATGTGATTGTGATGGAATACTTTTATGCTATGGAAAATGATGAGCAGGATGCTCTCAGAAAAAACTAGACTTACATGAGCTGATGCAAAGTGAAATGTATTATGTACAAAGTAACAGCATTATTGTAAGATGATCAGCTCTGAACGACTTAGCTCTTCTCAGCAATGCAGTGATCCAAGACAACTCTGAAGGACTTCTAATGAAAAATGCTATCCATCCCCAGGGAAAGAACTGATGGTGTCTCTGCATGCTGATTGAAACATACTTTTTTACTTTCTTTTTTTTTCTTGAAGGGTTTTTTTTTTGGCATATGTTTTCTTTTACAACATGATTATTATGGAAATGTTTTGCATGAATACACATGTATAACCTATATCAAATTTTTGCATTCTCAATGAGGGGGGCTGGGGAGGGAGGAAGAGAGAGAATTTGGAACTCAAAGTTTTAAAAATGAATGTTAAAAATTGTTTTTACATATAAGTGGGGGAAAATAAAATACTAAAGTAGAAAATTGGGAAAGAATTTTTACAATCAGTGTCTCTGATAACGGCCTCATTTCAAAAATATATAGAGAATTAAGTCAAATTTATAACAATACAAGTCATTCTCCAATTGATAAATGGTCAAAGGATATGACTAGGCAGTTTTCAGATGAAGAAATTAAAGCCATCTATAGTCATATGAAAAAATGCTCTAAATCACTATTGATTAGAGAAATGCAAATCAAAACAACTCTGAGATACCACATCACACCTATCAGATTGGCCAACATGACAAAACAGGAAAATGATAAATGTTGGAGAAGATGTGGGAAAATTGGAACACTAATGCATTGTTGGTGGAGTTGTGAAATGATCCAACCATTCTGGAAAGCAATTTGGAACTATGCCCAAAGGGGTACAAAAATGTGCATACCCTTTCACCTAGAAATAACACTTCTAGGGCTGTATTCCAAAGAGATCATACAAATGGGAAAAGGACCTACATGTACAAACATATTTATAGCAGCTCTTTTTGTGGTGGCAAAAATTGGAAATTGAATGGATGCCCATCAGTTGGGGAATGGCTGAACAAGTTGTGGTAAATGAATGTAATGGAATACTATTGTGCTATAAGAAGTGATGAGCAGGTGGACTTCAGAAAAACCTGGAAAGACTTGTGTAGTCTAATGCCGAGTGAAGTGAGGAGAACCAGGAGAATACCATACACAGTAACAGCCACATTGTGCGATGACTAATATACATAGACTTAGCCCTTCTCAGCAATGCAGGGATCTAAGATATCTCCAAAGGTCTCCTGATGGAAAATGCTATCCACATGCAAATAAAGAACTATAGAGTTTGAATACAGATTGGAGCACACTATTTGCCCCCCCTTTTTTTTCTTCTGTTGTGTTTTGTTTCCTCTTTCTGGTGGTTCCTTCTATTAGTTCTGATTCTTCCTTACAACATCACTAATGTGAAAATATGTTTAATAGGAACGTATGTGTATAGCTTATGTCAGATTGTGTGCCATCTTGGGGAGAGAGGTGGGGTAGAGGGAGAGAAAAATTTAAAGCTCAAAAGCTTATGGAAGGGACAGTTGATAAATCAAAATAAATTAATAAAAAAAACTTAAAAAAAATTTACACAGGGAGGAAAGCAGAGGTGTAACTAACATCTCACCATTCCAAACTAATATTTTCTGAGGGAGGGAAGTAGAAGAAGAAAAAACAAAACAAAACAAAATAAAACAAATAAACAAGAAAAAAATACTAAATAGAAAAAAAATGTGATCTTGATTAGAATTCTTAGGTCTTTTAGAATTAGTCTTGGAACCGAGTTCTCTGGTCTCCACTACCTGAAGGCCAGGTACTATGCATATGCCCTTTAATCTAGTGATACGCTTCCAGGTCTACACCCCAAAGAGCAAAGGAAGAGGAAAATGGGCCATATGTACCAAAATATGTATAACAGCTCTTTTTACAGAGGCAAAGAACTAGAAACTGAGGGGAATCACCAATAGCTGATTAAGTTATGGTATTTGAATACCATGTGATATGTATCACATATACATACTTAGCATGCTATTATGCCATAAGAAATTATGGAAGAGATAGTTTCAGAAAGACCTGGGAAGACATGTAGACTTTCATGAACTGATGCAGGGTTAAATTAGCAGAACCAGAACAATTTAAACATTATGATCAATATTGTAAAAATGAGTATATTGTTTAAAAAAAAAAGTGTTGGCTTTGCACATGCTCAGATCACCTAAGCTGGAGACACCCATGTGAGAGATAGCAGGGGCTTCCTTCTGGGAGAAGATAGACTGTTTTGGGTGGGAATAGCCTCATTCCACTGGCTGCTTTCCAGAACAGTCTGTGTCCATCAGATAGGAATACTCTCTGTCTCTGTCTCTCTGTATCTCTGTTCCTGTCTCTCACTGTCTCTGTCTCTGTCTCTCTTTCCTCCCCAACCCCACAATGGCAACATCTAGGGGATAAAGGTCATATTTACCCACAGATCAGGAAATGAGAACTAAGTTGGGGGGCAGGGGTGAGAAGACCTCTTTCCCTTTGGACCCTATAGCTCTAAGAACCGGGTTCAACTTCGGGGTTTTGATCGTGTTTCTTTTGTCTTTTTTCTGTTCTGTATACAGATGGTGAAGTCCTTGGACCACAGCTTGAGCCACGAGGGCCATGGAACTGGGATTCCTAGTTGAATGTTGCCGCCAAGCCTAGCACAGAAGCCAGAGTGGCCAGGATGCAAATCCAGGGGAGCTCTGGAGTTGGAACTTGGTACACCATGCTGTATAGGAACTGAGTTCACAACTTAATACTCCTTCCCTCTGCAGACACTGAGATAATGTAAAGTGGGTTTATGCCACTCTCTAAGTGTGTATGTGAGGGTGTTCTTACTATATACCTTTGAAGTAAAAATTCCCATGTAAAATCTTCTCTGATTGTTAAATGGTTAAATAGCACTGGGGTACAGGAACCCCTAAAATTGGAGGAATACAATCAGTGGGGGCTTGAGCCAAAGGTGGAGACTAGAAACCCCCAAACCTCCCTTAAGAGGACTGGAGAATGTATCCAACCTGGCCTTCAGGCCATGGGGACCAGGGTACTGCTGTTGCACAAATGATTCTGAAAGACTTAAGAACTCTAATCAGCATATTTGACCAGAAGCCTGTCATGATGGAGCATGCTGCCCCCTTCCTGACAAAGCCGTGATGGACTCAAAGTGCAGACTGAACACGCATGGGCGATGGGGGAATTTGTTTGGTTTGCCTGGGCATCCGTTACAAGTTGTTTTTCTTTCTTTTTCAATGGGAACAGAGAGAGCAGGAGAGAGAACGGGGGTTTTCATTAATGGAAAAAAATAATTTAGAGAAAGAATGGTAATTTTCTTGAGGAAAAAGACTTTTTTTTTTGCTTAATTTGTATTACTAGCACTCAGTACAGTGCCTGGCACATAGTGAATGCTTATAAATGTTCCAACTATCTATCTATCTGTCTATCCATCCATCCATCCATGCATCCATCTGTCTGTCTGTCAGTCTGTCTCTATCTATTTAGACTTTGTCGGGAATTTGAGCAAGTGTGAAGCACTGGATGGATAAGGGCTGAGCTTGCTACCTCTGTCCTGGCTTGGATCTGCCTGCAACCACATGATCCACTGGGACTGAGCCTAGCTGGGAGGGGGCCATCTCTAGTCACCCTGATTTATATCTGGCCACTGGACCCAGATGGCTCCAGGGAAGAAAGTGAAGCTGGTGACCTTGCACAGCCCTGCCTCACTGAAATGCAATTCACTTGCATGTCATGGAATCAATCACCTTCCTGATGCCAGGGTCCTCTTCGAGAACAAAGCACAAACAACAACTCTCTCTCTCTCTCTCTCTCTCCTCTCTCTCTCTCTCTCTCTCTCTCTCTCTCTCTCTCCTTCTCCTCTCTTTCTCTTCTCTTCTCTTCTTCTCTTCTCTTCTCTTCTCTTCTCTTCTCTTCTCTTCTCTTCTCTTCTCTTCTCTTCTCTTCTCTTCTCTCTCTCTCTTTCTCCTTTCCTCTCTGTCTTCTCTCTCTCTCTTTTTCTCCTCTCTTCTCTCTCTCTTTCTCCTCTCTTTCTTCTCTCTCTTCTTTTCTTCTCTCTCTCTCTTTCTTCTCTCTCTTTCTCTTCTCTTCTCTCTCTCTCTTCTCTTCTCTTCTCTTCTCTTCTCTTCTCTTTCTCTTCTCTTCTCTCTCTTTCTTTCTCTTCTCTTCTCTTCTCTCCTCTCCTCTCCTCTCCTCTCCTCTCCTCTCCTCTTCCTCTCCTCTCCTCTCCTCTCCTCTCCTCTCCTCTCCTCTCCTCTCCTCTCCTCTCTCTCCTCTCCTCTCCTCTCCTCTCCTCTCCTCTCTCTCCTCTCTCTCTCTCTCTCTCTCTCTCTCTCTCTCTCTCTCTCTCTCTCTCTCTCTCTCTCTCCCCCCCATTGACCTATCAATCTTATCTATCTCTATCTGTCTCTCTGTCTCTCATTTATCATTTCTCTCTCTCTCTATCTTCAAGCATCGCCTTTCCCATGTAGCCTTTCCCAATCCCTCGACCTAGTTATGCTTTTCTTCCCCAACTTGCCCTGTATTTAATTACTTTGTGTTTATTTTCTTTATTTTTTCCTATGAATTTATATATGCACACATATCACCTGGTGCAGTAGATAGAGCGCTGCACCTGGAATCAGGAAGATCTGAGGTTCAAATCTGGCTTCACATACTTACTAGCTGTGTGTCCCAGGGCAAGTCAATCTCTGGTTGCCTCAGTTTCCTCATCTGTAAAATGAGGATGATAATAATAGCATTGACCTCCCAGGTTGTTGTAAGGATTAAATGAGATATCTGTAAAGGGCTTAGCACTGTCCCTGGCATGTAGTAAGAACTATATAAATGTTAGCTATTATTATTATTATTAATTATTATTATTCTCTGAAGAACTTTGGAATTGATTGCATAATATAGGAGACGCTGGCAAAGGACCACTCAGCATGGCGTGACCCCATCAGAGAAGGTGCTCTGCTCTATGAGCAAAGCAGAATTGAAGTAGCTCGAAAGAAATGTGAGATGCACAAATTTAGAGAATCCACCCCAAATGTTCACATGGACTATTTGTGCCTGACCTGTGGTAGAGCATTCCGAGCTCCTATAGGTCTGATCAGCCACAGTCAGACACACTGTACCTTGACTTTAACATAGTGTTGTCATTTTGGTCTTCTTTGAGCATGAAGGACAACCACCATTATTATTATTGTTATTATTATTATTATTATTATTAAGCTCCTTGTGAATAGGGATTGTTTTATTCATCATAGTTCTGTCCCTAGTGCCTAGCATAGTGCTTGGCATATCAGTGGGTGCTTAATCAATACTTTTTTGATTGGTTGATAGAAGGAGGGATGGATGTCCGAAGGATTCTAGGTCAGGAAATTTCTGTGACAGTGTTTCATCCAAAGGCCCCCTTTTCAGGAGGAAGGGAAATGCGACCCTGGAGAGGGAAGTGACTGGTCCAAGGTCAGACAAGGAGTGAGTGAGTAGCAGAAGTGCACTTCAGATCCAGGCTTCCTGATTTTAACCTGATGCACTTCTCCCTCACCAGGGGTGCCTGAGTCAGTGTTGACTACCCTGAACTCCACCCCACTCCTGCACAACCGGCTGCTCCACATCCTGCTATGACTAAAGGCGAACCTGCCTTACCGGTCACTTACCTGCCACCTTGGGTGTGATCTCAGCAGAGAGAGAAACTCTGTTTCATTTCCTTCTGCAGAAGCCCCAGTGGTGTCTGTTTTCAAATTAAGATCATTTATTTATTTATTTATTTAACTTCAGGGAGGCAGGATGATGTGATGGAAAGGACGCTGGATTTTGGTCTAGAAGGCCCAAGGAGGCCAGAATCTCAACCCTGTTACTCATGATTTCTGTGACATAAAACAAGTTACCTAATTTCTCTAGCCTCAGATTCCTCACCTGTAAAATGACCTCTAAAGTCCCTCCTAGGTCTGGCTCTAAGATCCTAGGAACTTCAACAACTTGTGTGACAAGTCACCTAATCTCTCTGAGCTCAGTTTTCTGAGATGGTGCAGTGGTTAGAGCACTGGGCTGGGAACTAGGAAGACTCATCTCCTTGAGTTCAAATCTGGCCTCAGACACTTACTAGCTGTATGACCCTGAGGAAGTCTGTTTGCCTCAGTTTCCTCATCTGTAAAATGAGCTGGAGAAGGAAATGGCAAAATACTCTAGTGTGTGTGCCAAGAAAACCCCAAATGAATCCTGCCTCAGACACTTGACACTTACTAACTGTGTGACCCTGGGCAAGTCACTTAATCCCAATTGCCTCACCAAAAAGCAAAAAAACCCCAAAACAACAAGAAAAAGAAAACCCCAAATGGAGTCACGAAGAGTTGGACATGGCCGAAAGGACCCAACAAGACCAGAAGAGGCCTTTCCCACTTCTTATTCTAAGGTCCTAGGGTCACTTTGATCCTTCCTCCTTTCTCTGACCTTCTCTTCTCTGAGGTCAATAAGGATTATAGATTTAGAGCTTGAAGCCATCTGGTCTAACCCCATCATTTTACAAATGTGGAAACTGAGGCTTAGAGAGAAGTGACTTGCCCCAGGTCACAAAAATACTAAATGATAAAGCTGTCATTTGCTCTCCTTACTAGAGTCTCCCCCTAGGAGGATATCTGAGGGCTTTCTATTGCATTGCTCGTTTGGAGCAAACTGCTGAGGGTTTTCAGACCTTGACTAAAATGGTAAAGCTGCTACAGCTCTGAGGTTGGCAGACACTTCTCCCCAGCAACCTTGTGAGGTAGGGAGTTCACACCTGGCCTCAGACGCTTACTATTTATGTGACCCTGGGCAAGTCACTTACCCCTGTTTGCCTCAGTTTCCTCCTCTGTAAAATGGGCTGGAGAAGGAAATGGCAAACCACTGCAGTATCTCTGCCAAGAAAACTCTAAATGGGGTCACAGAGAGTTGGATGTGACTGAAAAACAATGGGGTGTTACAATGAGCCCAGTTTTACTGATGAGGAAACTGAGGCTTGGTGAGATTGAGCAGCCTGGGGTCATGAGCTCGTGCTTTTAGCAAAGGAGGTAACAAGTTACCATGCAGATGTAATGGCCATGGAGTCATGGGCCTGGGTTCAAATCCCGGCTCTGCTGATTGCTGGTGTGACCATAGACAACTGCCTGAAGCTCTGTGTGCCCCAGACTTCTCATCTCTAAAATAGAGGAGTTAGACCTCGGAGATACCTCCCAACTTGCAGGTTTCTACAGTCCTAATCATAATGTTGTCGTTCAGTCATTCCAGTCCTGTCTGACTCTTCGTGCCCCCATTTGGAGTTTTCTTGGCAAAAATACTAAGGTGGTTTACCATTTCCTTCTCCAGTTCATTTTACAGATGAGGAAACTGAGGCAAACAGGGTGGAGTGACTTGTCCAGGGTCACCTAGCTAGTAAGTGTCTAAGGCCACAGTTGAACTCAGGGCTTCCTAACTACAGGCCTAACGCTCTACCTACTTCACCACCTAGCTGCCAAATAAGAAACCTAAGAGTAGGTTAGTTTGAGAGCTGTATACTTGGGCAGTTGGGCAGCCCAATGAATAGAGAATCAGACCTTGAATGAGGGAGACCTGAGTTCAAAGCCTGAATGGCCTCAGACACTAGCTGCATGACCCTGGACAAGTCACTTAGCCTCTTCTTATCCAATTTCCTTCTCTGTAAAATGAGAAAGATAACCATACCTACCTCCCATGGTTATTAGAAGGATCAAATAATAAGAATAAAGCACTTAGCACAGTGCCTGGCACATAGTAGGGGCTATATAAATGGTAGCCTGCCTTCCTTCCTTTCTCTCTCCTCTCTCTCTCTCTCTCTCTCTCTCTCTCTCTCTCTCTCTCCTCTCTCTCTCTCTCCCTTCCTTTTTCAT